ATGCAAGATGCAAGTTTAAAAATGTAGTTACAGATGCTAAAGTAAATCGATTACAAATTGTAATCAGTAATTAAATACAAATTTTGTAAAGAAGGTACCTAATCAAATACGTAAATACATTTATAATAAAGTAATTTGTAATCAATATTCGAATACTTTTTAGAGTAATCATTCCAGCTCTGCTTGTAAGTACCTATAGTGCGTGATTATGACGATATGAAATAGGAATACGATATGGGAAGAATATTTAAATCGATTACCGATCATGTTTTGTTTTTTCCCGCTTCGATTACTGATGCCGATCGTTTCGTGACAATAATGAATGCAGTTTTTAAGATTGGCATATTAAGCTACTCTCAACTAGGTGGCAGCATATACCGGTACATCATTTTACAATCATCAAGAATTGGCGCGAACCGGTTGGCTTACTATCTGTATTATACTATGATAAAACGCACATGTATAATTTGCTTCAAACTCGCATCTCCCTCTCGTCTTATTTACCTCGCGAAACCAAAAAGCGCGCCTAACTACTAGCGCATCTAGTGTTGCCATTATTACGAATATGAAATATAATTTTTGCACCCAGGTTTGTATTTATGTCTAAATTTACCTTAAAAATTACGATTTGATATAATTGACGTCATAATTTTTTGAAATGTATGAATATAAAGCAAACTTAAGAATCATTTCCTGTAATTCAAAGCGAAATCTGTTCAATCATTAGTTCAGATTGAATAACTGAGTATGAGCACATCGATCGCTATTTGTCTTTTTCTGAGGATTCCCTTCCCTTGTTTTGACTTGTGCTGATGTTTTGCTGGTATACCTGTAGTCACACGGTTTCTTTTTCTTGTCATTTCAGTTCAATTTATAGTTTCTGTACAATACGACTGAACATAAATGATTATTTAAAACTTCACAGAAGAAACTATCGGGAAATTACTGCCTCCGAAATTCAATAATATATATGGAAAACGATGAGTATAAATTGTGGTGCAAGAGCCAGTACGTACCTGTATTTCAAGGTTAACTACTAAATATTAAATTGTGTTTGACATTTCATTTTTTACTGTCACCTTTCATCTCGCATTGCCACAGTACTGCTTTTTAATCGCGCCGCGACGGGAGAACAAGTGACGCTTAAGTCCATTCAATCATTGAATAATAAATCTGAATATTATGATTCAATCGAAAACAAAAGACGTAGATTTAGACCACGGAGCAAGGTTGTTTTATTAGAAAGGTTGGCTGGTAACTCTAAGCCAATAGAATGCCTGCATTTTGAAGGCGGGAAGACGTCATCCAGAATACACATTTAAAATTGCTCATAGGTTACAATACTAATAAAAGGGGTAAAAAATGTAGTTTTTGCAGTATATTTTTGGATTTATATGGGTATATGTATATGGGGTGGATCTTATATTGAAAATCTTGGAAGTTTATCGACTTCCACCTTTGAAAGCAATCAAAGTATTGAAAAAATGAGTGTGGTGCGTAAGCTATTTGACATTGCACGAGGACTTGTGAAAATGTAATCAAATTAATTTCAGAGGTGGAAATGGATAAAATTCCGCGATCTAGAAATAGGAACCACCCCTATGTATTAATACCTAGGTTTTGGGAATTAAAACTCTAAACATTCGTTAGCGGATGAAGCCAAGTGTTTAAAACTGTGATAACATGCTGTTGCGTTTTATGGAATATGTATATTTATAGTATGTACAAAATGTTAACCGAGGTGCACACGGCGAGCTCTGTCGTTGGGGTGAGCCCAAATGCAGGTCTTCTGACTGATGGAGTGTGGCGCGAGGTCGAGCTGGCAAGGCGACCTGGTTCTGCAGGTGGAGAGCTTTTTGTTTCTTGAAGTGCAGTCGAAGCAGAAATTGCGTTGCACTTTGCAGAGTTCGTGGCTCTGCTTTTAAATGTTTGCGGCCAGGGACGCTACGCTTTCATCGGTTGACCGTTTTGACCAATGAGGACGCAGCACGTTTTAGCACAGATTTAGAGTGTTTAAATCTGTGGTTTTAGCACAGATTTAAACACTCCAGATATAATAGCTCATGACATAGGAAAAATAGTTGCGCGATAAAGTATTCAAGCAGGTATTGCCTCTATGTGTGATTTCAGTAACTATTAATTTTGCAGGTATAAATAGTTTGCGCTTTGCGTCATTACCTATACAAATGGCATCTATACATGTTTTCAAATGCCATCTATAAACGCTTGTTGTCAAACATTTTGGATACGAGCACAGACAACATATACTATTTGTCTGTGATACGAGTATTGTATTGAGACATGTGTCTTTGTTATCATGAATTAATTTCGATATCCTATCGCATATACGTATAAATGAAATTTCTACCTCTTAAACCTTTTATATACGTGTGTATTTCTCCAACGTTGAGTAAAAATGGCAAAAGCGGGTAATTGTTGGTGAATATTAGCAGTGTGGCATTTCATAAATAACAAACCCCTAATTTAAAACTGTACGGATAAGAAAGGTGGCCTACATGGGTGAAAAATTTAGATATTTTCACCTTTATTTGGTCCCTATATAATGTCAATTAACTTTAACACTTGGGAATTGTGGTAAAAAAAAAGAGAAATAAGTGCGCTGGTGCGGTCACTTTTTGAGAAAGTTTGTACTTACGAATTTTAATATAAGTTTTAAAAACTTGCCTCAAAGTTGGCCATTCTTTGCTTCCAAAATAATCTACCTTTAGTTTTAGTGTAATATATGTTTACTTCATTTTAGGTTTACCTATATCTTAATGTATCTAATTATCTAAATGTGTTTAAATCTGTGGTTTTAGTTTGCTGCCGGATGTGAAACATTTTCTTACCCATTCTTTAAGAACGGTAGGGTCTTTGGGAAACGTAAAAACCGAGATTTTATTTACACCAGGATGAGGAATTTTAGTGTTACCGCCACTCATCTAAAAAAAATACTTAATTATAACATACAAAGTGCATATAATTGATGAACTAACCTTTCAATCACGGCTATGAAAACCAACAAAATTCACAAACTAAATTTTATATTGCACCAAACAGGTATCTACAGCTAATATTATGTCCTTATGTACTTCAAAATTCAACAAATTTTAATAGCATATTATATACCAATTGACTAAAGTGTGTGTTTCATTCCCGAGGGTGCAGATTCAGCACCCGAATTCAAAAAGGTATATGGAAAACGGTATAATAAGTATAAAATATGGTGCAAGAATAAACATTTACATATTATAAAGGTACCCATTAATCATTAAATTGTGTTTGACAATTCAGTGTGTACCTACTGTCACTTTTTGTCCCTCGTCGCGTTTTTCTCCCCCGGGAGAAAAAGTGACACTGTAGTCCTTTAAATGAATGACAAAACTTGTTGATTTAGTCCGCGGAGTAGAAAAACCTTATTTTGAACGAATAATAATTGCACCAACGAATAACGATATGGAATAACTCGCCGGAAGTAAGATAAACGGAGTTGAGCTCTGAATGTTGAGTAAATTACATTCGCTCGTAAGTAGCGGCACCTAGGATTTTGAATATTGAGGACCAATCGATAAGGGGGAGGTTGTTAAAGGATGCAAGAGTCTGTACCAATAATCAAATAACAAATTAATTTGGCGATAAATTACCAATTGATGATATAATAGCAGTGCGGGTTCTAAAAATATTAACGATGAAATGTGCAGTGAATTAAAACAATATCGTTCATTGCGTATAAAATTAACCGGAGTGCTAAGCTATTTGCATCTATTATTATAAACGAAATTTTATTATAAATTATAAATCAAAAATTTTCCATTCGTTAGTGGATATCCAAATAAGCTGCGCATTGTTTTAAATACTGCTGCGTGTTGTATTGTTGTTACTTGAGGGTTGTTTAATAAAAAGCTCGCGTTTTATTTATAAATAAGGGTTTGGATTTATTTCAATAGTTATAGACATAAAAGTTAGGAAAATGACACATTACTGGCGAGGAAATATTGAAGTACAAGGCCCCTTTGGAGCCGAGTACTTTTAATATCCGAGTCAAGTAATGTCATTTTACTGACGAGTTTTGTATTAAATTTTAGCCGAAATCGTATTTTAATACAAAATTTCAATTTTCATATAGAACTTTTGATTACTGCCAATCCGTCAATGATGACAGGAGTCATTATAGACATTTGGCAATGTGACAGGTGCGGCAGGAAAAGTTACAACTGCGGCCGGTAAAGTGACAGGTGCGACCGGTAAAGTGACAGGCGGCAGGAAAAGTAGACTGGTCTGCCTCCGTCATAGAGACTAACATTTTCCTGACATAAAGTAAGCATGAAAATTAAGGTTTCATGACCATTTTGTGTAAAATAGTATACCCCAACACAACGCTGTGAAATCATATTAGAAAAGGTGAGGGACGCGGTACATCTAACCTAGAACCAAATCTTTAAGCGGCGGCTGATACGCAGATGAAACCTGACTCCTGAGACGAGGTGACAATCAACATTGACGACGTTACAGGACGCTAAGGTACCGACTATTATTATTTCGGTTTTGTAAGAATTATAAGCCGAATCTCGTAAAACTTCTTACGTATTAATGAACGATTTATTTAATAATTTATTTAGGATTAAATGTCATATTGTTTACTAAGATAATATTGATTAGCTCTAGCTGGCCTGTACGTATATTTTTGAGTTTAGGCAGGAAAATAGCTTTCAGGGCGACTGTAAGAATTTGTTTAATTTCGTTTAGTTAGTTATAATTGCAATAAATGTAGGCAGTTTGAGTTAGCAATTGACAAAGGTTTGTAGTATGATCTTTGGTTTTGGCTATAAAATTTTATATATTATTAATGAAATTATCAGTGAAGGAAAAATCAATTTCATTCTTTCCTATTTTTAACCCACTTTATCTGAGCTGGCCTGGGAAGTAAAAGTACTAAAAGTAGGTCCAAACGTACTAAACACGAAAGAAACGAAGACGAAGTTTGAAACAAGAATTTAATGCATCGAACCACACCAGTCACCAAGAATCTGAGAATATTATTAACCCTTTTGTAATGTCTATTAGGTATACGAATTGACGCTCAACCATGAGCCTTAAAAAGAAAAGAACTATTAAATGTAATAAGTGCTATCGGGTGCAATCGTTATTGGGCTGAGGGTCAACTTGATGATTCGCAGCATAATTTCCGCAACAAATAATTAGCAATTTACCTTTACTACTTGTACTCGTAATATTACAAAAAAAATTAAGACTGCAGTTCAACAAAAAGTTTCCTTTACAATTTACAGAAAAGCTTATTCCGTAGATACCAGCTGTACATCCACATTGATTGTAACTGACTTTGCATCAATAACGTTTTTATAAAATGCGGCAGAAGCTTTGGGGCTTCTGGTCTTAAATGGATCCTTAAAGTTAACTGAATACAATCCAAATTTAGTCCTAAAATATACAATTAAGTACAGGTTTTAAGTCACCAAGTTGCAGTACTTACGCATAACCCTCTCTCCCTGCAAAGTTGTCCATCAACGACCAAACCGAGTAGGCTTTAACCTTGCAATGGTCTAGAACGATTGCCTTTTGCAGCTCCGAGAGATGACCCTGCAACAGTCCTTATGAATGCACCAAATTACAAATAAGTAAGAATATTACCCTTAAATAATTGATTCTGTTGGTATCGTTTACTTCTCCATTATCTGCAAAACCATTTTCAGTTATATACACAAGCGGATTTTTGTATTTCTCTTTTGTCCATTTTAAAATATCTCTTAATCCATCAGGATAATCCTTTAAATCAGGCAAAGAAGATGATCTCCATTCGGGGTTATATTCCCTTTTAACGTTCAAGTCATTTTCAAAGGAAGGAGTAAGATTTGTGGAATTTGTATCATTGCTAACAATGTATCCGGTGTAATAATTGATCCCTAGGAAGTCGGCAGATCCTTTTATTTGCTTAATCTCGTCACTGCTGAGAGGAGGTAGTCTTGTCGCCGAAAAGTTTTGCAAGTGACTTGAGAATTTAACGCGCGATTTCATTAAATATGGATAATCTCCGCTTCTGTGAAAGATAGGATTTGCCCACCAACCAAACTACGGAATCTTGTGTCAGATGAACAATTGCCTACTGTAATACATACTGTCATTTCAATGGCCCGTTCGGCTGCTACTTTGTCTTCCTTATAATTGGTTTTGGATTCGTACCATGCACCTTTCAACGAAATCCCAATTTTGCCTGAAATTTAAAAAAATTTCTGGTCAATCATTTAATTTCACTATTCCAAACATAAGGAATCATAAATCAATGTAACCGCGACATACAAAGAAAAGCTGTAGGGAGAGAAGGGTAGAGAATGAATGATCCAATTAGTTTAAAAAAATGTAGTTGCAAGTGAGATGTGATACCTACATGTAGATCCCACATACGGTCAACCTTTGCTCATCTGTTTTTTAGCCATCGTAATACAGACACATTGCAAATGGGTTCCCTAAAAAGTGAAGTCAAGGCTACCCGTAATTATAATTAATGTAATTATTATTTCTATCGGCTTCTATCCTTAGACCATACAGTACCTACATGGACTGCTAATTGTAACTAAAATATGACCAAGGACATCGCCTGGGTATGTGAGTTTCAGGGTAAACGAGCCTGTCCGAAGTTGTCCGATTAGACACGATTTGAGACTGTAAACCTGTAAATTAACAAACGTTAATTAATTAATCGCCTAGATATGGCAAAAAAAAGCTGTTCTTATTTGTGGACGTATAGAAGATAATCAAGCTTCCCGTAGTACGCGGTTACTATAAAAGCTGCTCTTTAAGCGATCCTAGTGGTGTTTACACGACTTTAGTTTACCCTGAGATTCACATACCCACACATACCTACGACTACAGTGCCCTCTATCCGTGACCACCCATTTTGTATTGAAAGCATAGGGCTAATAGCAGTCCATGTACTATATGGCCTAAGCTTCTATCACATGGAGAGAGGGCATGCGCACTCTCTGATATCGATGCGTACACCATGCGTTGCGTCCTTCTCTTTCACACGGAACAGGACAGTTGTCGCAATTTTAAGTAGCGCGAGAGAGAAAAGATGTGAATTATTCCGTGTGAAAGAGAAGGACGCAGCGTAAAGGCGCAGTTACACGGCGCGTGGTTCGGCGAATCTGGCTTGACGAACCACGAGTTGTCTGACATAGGCGGATCGCTATTGGCTCGCGGTGTGTGGTGCGTAGTTCGTACGATCCGTTGGCGATCGGTAAATTTGTACACATCAAAGGAGTTCGGTTCGTTGATTCGTGCAAGGTTCGTGTAGGTTTGCTACACTGCGAACCAGGCACTTAAAATAGGTTGTAACTTATAAGTGTACTAAAATGGCGTGGAGTACCTACCTAACTACCTACTGAAAAAAACATTAGAATTTGTTATGAATCCTAAACGCGAGGGCAATAAAGACATGTTGTGTATGCTGTATGGACACGCTTGCAAAATTATTCCAACGTAATTAATGGTCGTTGTTGCAGCACTGATTTTGGTTCCGTATTGCGTCACAAATATGAACGAACTAAATACCGTTTTGGCACACCTGGTACGGAAAGTCGCAAGCGAAAGGCGTGGTTACACGGCGCGTGGTTCGGCGAACCACGAAACTGGTGCGTGGTTCGCATTGGCTTGCGTGTTTCCGAACCAGGTGTGTCAAAACGGTATTTGGTCATATTTGTGACGTAATCGGTTCGCCTTTATAATACGGAACCAAAATCAGTACTGCAACAACGACCATGGATGCTAGACAGAGAATTATTGCTTCTGCCAGCTTGTGCGTTATTTACGCGGGAACAATTTTACAAAATACAATGAAAAAACTCAAAAATTAAAAGAACAAGAGAACAAATTGTAATGATTTTTCAGTACTCCACGGCATTTTAATGAACTTATAACCTATTTCAAGTGACTGAACCCACCCGCATGTGAGCATTGCAACACAGTCCTGACAGTAAAGCACATCCTTATAGACTGCCCAAAATACGCGGAAATTAGAAAACGACACGACCTTAAACCAGAGCTTAGAGAAGTTCTAACAAATAGTTTCCAGAACGTTATCAATTTCCTTAAAGATGCTAATCTGTATAATTACATATAGTCTAATGTAAAATGTAAATTTTTCCTCAATTTTCCTTTTCTGTTAATTTTTGTGTTTTGTATATATCACTTACTGTTCTAAATTAATTACTTATAACATGTGCCAATGGCCTATGGTTGTCGAGGCACTCAAACCAAATAAAAAAAATAAAATAATAACTGAATAAGAAAATTAACTGGCCGGCAGCAGCAAGTTCGCAGTATATAGCAAACCTACACGAACCTTGCACGAACCAACGAACCGAACTCTTTTGATGTGTGCACTTTTACCGACCGCCAATGGATCGTACGAACCACGCACAACGCACCGCGAGCGCACCACGAGCCAATAGCGAACCGCCTATGTCAGACGACTCGTGGTTCGTGGTTCGTCAAGCCAGGTTCGCCGAACCACGCGCCGTGTAACCGCGCCTTAATGCGAACCACGCACCAGTATCGTGGTTCGCCGAACGACGCGCCGTGTAACCGCGCCTTTAACAGTTGCTCGTGGTGTAGGCATCTAATGTAAGACAGTACATGCCGTACATACCGTGTACCGTTGGATAGGGTACACCTGGACTACTTCTGGACAATACAAAATTACGAAAGCTAGTTTATTTTCAGTTGATAGAATCATAAAGTTCACTTCCAATGATGAATTAATAGAGGATTTAATTTAATTTATATCAAGATGGTATTAGGCAACAAGTTTTCTCTTGATGTTATTGGTAACTAGGTACATAACAAGATAACATTAATTTTCCTGTTCTGTTAGTAATACGCCATTTATAAATCAAGGAATGGATCGGAGATAGAGCAAATGCTCTTTTAATCGCAGAAGTTCACAAAAGAGAAAGAAAGGTGATGTTTTAGCAAACACCGTCACATATCGGTCATTTTTCGCATTGAGAAACGGACTAGTATCTGCGCACTTCAATTTTCATTTACGGACTTATCTAGAGACAATAGTGGGCGGAAAGTCTACGTGAATATCGCGTGAGTTTGGCGGACTTCACATCAAAATTGGTATGTAGACTATATATAGGTTTGTATAAGGTATCACATAGTAAGAAAGATTCTACCAAACGGAAAATTCTTCAAAATGTAAAAATATAGAACGTTTTGACCAAGGCTTAGCGTTAGGTATCTTGAATTAGTCTATTCGAAGTTTCAAGAAGTAAAATATTGTTTTGATGAAGATGTTATTATTATGCAACGTTTTTACCATCAATAAATTTGTGTAATAGTGGGTAGTCAATGACAGATAAGATAAGTAAATTAATTTTTCATAAACAAGATAAAGGTCCCCACAAAAATACGGGAATCGATAACTAATTTTTTTACGTGCATCATATATTGAACAAAAAACTTGGATTGTCGTGCGCTTGACGATTTTGATAGTGACGTGGCGATAACAATTTCAAAAAATACTCTATTTCTCAAAGCACATCTAGTCCTCTGGGTGACCAGGAGTAGGTACCAGGACCATGTAAGCAATGTGGTGTATAGAGCATCACCCATTTTTTCTCGAAGAGGACCATTACGACTTCAAAAAAAAATTGGGTGGCCGTTCCGACTTGTGGTAGGTTTTAAGTTATGACGTCATATGCACTAAATTCCCGTATTCATCGCAACCATTCACACTAATCCAAAAATGTGGCTGCAGACCCAGCAAGCTGCATATCAAATGAAAGGTGTATATTAGAACTATAAATAATGAAATATTATTTAGCGAAATTAACCAGTTTTTGCAAGGCGCGCGCGTCTTCGAGATCGGTAACGAAGCATTTGCGGACCTATTAATTTTCATATGAACTTTTAATCATAATTTTAGCCAACACCGATGGGCTCATTTCCATGACGTTGTTTGTTTTGCTGAATCGGAAATTTAGTGTAATTGGAGTTGATATAATATGGGATGAGGTTAGTCAATTAAAGACTTAAATCTTTGAATATACAATTTATATTCAAAGCTTAAATTAATTGGCTAGTTTCCGCGCCAAGGAAAAATTGATCGTAAAGAAAACCGCGGTTTCGTGTTGTTCGATTCCTAAATAGTAGGAAAAAAGGAAATTTATTTCGGTTAGTCTCGACCGATCTGTATGTGTGAGCGAGAAAAACAAAACGTGTACCTACCAAGATAAAACTGAACAGCACGAGGACAATAACGGCTGCAATTGCAATGAGAAAGTGTCTGTTATGTCTTTATTTCTCTTGAAGTAACCTAAAAAAATAATAGCAAATCTGATATTTCGTATTTCTTCGAATATCTGGGGAAGTACTTAAGCATAATTTTCTAATTGCCCAAAACTCTAAACAATCCAAACGGTTTTTTATTAATAATTATAATTCTGAAACTTTTATAGTAGTAACGTCATGAAACGTTGAAACGCTCACATGTTAGGTGGAGAAACATACGAGGGTGGACAAGCGGAAGGAAATTTGAGATAATTGTGACAGGCACAGTTTGTGAAAGTTAATGACCAGTGTAGTTTGCGATCGGCAGTGGTAAGATATCTAACTTGTTGCGCATACGTCGGTTCCTAATAGACAAAGAGGTTTCAAAATACACAACCCTTGTTTTGAACCAATATTTATCTGGATGTGTTACCTTTTCTTTGCTTTTTAAAACTTACAATTTTTTATGTTCGTATATTAACACACACTGAAATCGTAAATATCTATGACTATTCAATTCATCTAACATTTGTCACATTTCAACCAGTGAAATGTCTCGATTTCAAATTGCTGCGCCAATGGGAACGAATTATAGTGATCATTGCACGTGTGGTATTTCAGCGACAATTCAACTCATGTATAAAAAATCGCATAAGCCGCAGTGAAATTGTCACTTTGACAGCGGCAAAAGTTACCTGCAACTTTTCCAGCGACAAATGCACTAGTGGTTTTTTCACTTATTCATTTTCGAACCAATTATCGCATTATCCTTTCCCATATGACTAGTTTGACGTCTGTCAATAATTGATTAGTTTGGTGAATTTCTTGTTCGTTAAATTGTCCTGCCGAATTACACTCGAGGTTTGTATTTAAACCGAGTAAATTTGGGTTGTGGCAATTCAAATCTGTTTCCTTTTAGCAATTGGACTCGAAAAACTGTCAACCTAAAAATGCTCCACCTGCGGTGTCGCATTTTTATTAGTTGACAGTTTTTCTCGTCTAATTGCTAGGCAACGGATTTTCATTACCTAAACAACCCAAATTTACTCTGTAAAATACAAACCTCTTGTGCAATTATAAGTGATAATTTCACGTGTGGTATTTCAGCGACAATTCAATGCGATTATTCAATGACATTTGTCAAACTTCCACCAGTGAAATGACGCGAAATTTTGTCGTATTAACCGGAACATTCTTCTTAGTTTGTTAATCAATTTCGACAACCGACTTATCACCACATCTTTTAATTTAACCACTCATAACGAATTAGCTTGGAGCACACAAGTTCGAATAGAATCAATAGCAAAATGAAAAGCAACTTCCATAATTTATTTTGACGTTTATTGTTGTCATGGAAATACATTCGCGTGGGTAATTATGCTTAATTTTTCTTTTGATTCATTGAATAGTCCTCCGAATACCATTCGTAGTCGAAGTATTTGTAGATTATTTTTGAGCTGCTGCTCCACTCATGCTAGTTACGCTTTTTAATACCACTCGCGCAAGCGCTCGTGGTATTAATCAGCGTAACTAGCATTCGTGACAGCACCTCAAAAATATTCGACAATACTTCGACTACTTATGGTATTATATATGAATATCTTCCTAACGGAGCTTGATTTACAGGCTTGGCATATTCGTATCGATCATTTACGAGTATAATTCCGACTTTGAAACTTTTTGGGTTTTTCTTAAATGGGGTCATCCCGCCTTCATTTTTTATTTCTGATCCACAAAGTACATTAAAAATAAAAAGACCCGTGTGTCCTCAATTTTTATTTGCGAGTAAAATAAACCCAAAATAAATTATTGAAAAGCTGTGTTTTTAGTCCGAATTTGAAACGCTTCAGACTAAATACGTCACAAACCTACAACCAATCACGTAGAAGTGAGCTGGCAACCTTACGCGAGGGTCTGACGTTTGTCACATTTGACGTTTTGAGAGGGATGTTTAACCATGATACTATAATAATCAGATATGCTCATGCGCACGCGAGCGCATCTATAATGACGTCACTGGGTGACAAACTAATTACTGGTAACATGATAATAGTATCATGCCATAATGACAGCTTGACAGTAGCGATTTGCGTGTCGTTCTATTTGAAAGTAAGCGACATGGTGTATTGTGCGGTGATGAGTTGTACAAATAATTCCAACAGAAACAGCTATACTTTTAATTTAAATTGTCGGTATTTTCGTTTTCCTAGACTGACACATATTTGTGATGAATGGGTGCGTGTTTGCAACAAAAAACGTAAATTTAAAGTCGAAAATTCTAGAATTTGTTCTGAACATTTTGTGGAAAGTGATTATCGTTTAAGAGAAAAGCTACAAAATTACCCACGGCATTTATGGTGTTTAAAAAATGATGCCATTCCTTCTGTAAATTTACCAAAATTAAATGAAAGTGAAGATGAAAGCTTGGATACATGCAAGTATCAGGATGAACGGTCTCAAGACTCGTCTCAAGATCAAATAGCTTCAGAAAGTAAGATTTCTACAATGGAAGAAATGGTAATGAAATTCTTGCTCTAATATATCCCTACTTATAAAATTTCTCGTATATATTTTTAGTTCCCAACATTCTTGCAAAGATTGTATTACATTTAAAAGTGCCATTTTAAAACAAAACGTAGAATTAGAGCTGATTAAGAAGAAACTAACAAAAGTTGAAGAAGAATCTGAAGCATTAAAGAGTAGGCTTGCCCAAAAAACTGCAGAATTACAATTAATGGACAACAATTTTCTAAATCAAAACAAAGAATTGGAAATGGTCAATGCAAAACTAATTAAAGCTGAACGCGAATCGGAAACTGATAGACGTATGCTTGCAAAGAAAACCGCAGAATTGCAATTAGTGGAAAAAATTTTTACGAATGGTCAACTACGAAAACTAAAATCCACAAGTAGTCGCATATTATGGAGAGTAGAAGACATTGCTTCTTCAATATCCTTATTCTCAGCAGGACCACGCTCTTATCGTTTATTGAGAAAAAGAGGTTATCCACTCCCAGGGCTTTCTACATTAAGGCGGTGGGCAGAGAAAATTGACGTCAAGCCAGGTATTTTATAGCAATTGTAAAGTTTAGTACATGGTTTTATAACTAAATATTCTAAACATTGAAATAATCTCTTTTAGGTATCTTAACTATAATACTAAGGCTAATGGAAAATAATTCTCTATCCAAAATGGACAAAGCTTGCGTTGTGCTGTTTGATGAAATGAAAATTCAAGCTGGTTTCGAGTACGAAAGAAAAAGTGATACAACATTAAGCCCATCAAAATATGTTCAAGTAATTATGGCTCAAGGTCTATTTGGAAACTGGAAGCAACCGATATTTTATGATTTCGACTGCAAGATAACTAAAGAACTACTATTCGAAATTATTAAAAATCTTGAGCACATTGGTTATCCAGTGTATGCGATAAACTCAGATCTAGGAGGTAGCAACAGGGGTCTTTGGACATCGCTAAATATTTCAGAAAATAAGACGTGGTTTGAAAATCCAGCAACGAAAAAAAATATTTATGTATTTGCGGACGCGCCTCATATGATAAAACTTTTAAGGAATCATTTCATTGATACAGGTTTCCTGTTGAATGGCAAAATTGTTAACACAAAACCTATTGTAGAACTTTTGGAAAACAACAAAAATTTAGACTTACGCATTTCTCATAAAATCGATGAGAGTTTTTTAACAGTCAAAGGTCCACAACGGCAAAAGGTAAAATTAGCAACGAAATTGTTTTCACACACCATAGCAAAAGCCGTTGAAAGATTAGGTTCTTTAGGTTTAAGTCGAAGTGATAGCTTTTTAGAATGCTCACACTTACTCAAAATTACAAATGATTGGTTTGATGTGTTTAATTCAAAAGTTCCCGAATGTGATTCTCGAAATAGAATGAAGGCTTATGGTTTGTCCTTGTATGATCAAAACAAAATTATAGATGACATGTCGAATACAATGCTTAGCTTAAGAAAAATTGATTCTAAAGCATTATTGCCTTTTCAAAAAGGTATTATAATAGGGAATACGTCATTAAAATTATTGCTTAATGATCTTAAGACAGATTTCAATGCAAAATATTTATTAACTTACCGCTTAAACCAAGATCCGTTAGAAGGTTTTTTTTCAATAGTTAGATCAATTGGTGGTCTCTACGACCATCCCACTGCTTTACAATTTAAATATCGATTAAGGAATTACGTTTTAGGACGAAATGATGAAATCATTTCTAACTCTTCAAATGTAGAACAGGCAGTAGATGCACCAAATATTATAATTGAGAACCTACATACATTAAAAAATATTTGTGACGATATAGATAATGTAAAAACAGTTACTGGGCAAATGTTAAGTACATTAAAAGTAAATGTAGATAGGTACGACGAAGGTACAACAGATGAAATTTCTTCAGTAGATGAGCTGACTCAACTGCAATGTGACGGATTAGAAAACTTAGCGGGATATGTAGTTTTCAAATTAAGAAAAAAGGAGACTCTGGGATTCATTCCAGATTCCAGCGATTGTTCATCTTCGTGGCTTAACCACGTGTCTGAAGGCGGTTTAATGAAACCCACAAATAACTTTCTTGAAAATTGTAGGCAGCTAAATGCGATTTTTGATGCAATAAATGGAAATTCTTTAAAAATTCAAATTAATTATATAAAAAACTTAATAGAACATTCTGAAAATGTAGATGTTAGTCTTGATGCCAAAAAACTGTTTTTTAGGTGTAAATTGTATTTTAGAATTCGAAAATTAAATCGTTATATTAAAGAACAGTCAAATACGAGGAAAAGAAAGTTTGTAAAAATTGTTAAATAATGTTGTTACTAGTCTGGCCCCTCTAGATTACATAAGCAACTAAAATGTACGTATTTTACAACCCTCGATATTAAAGGCTAAGTTATGACCTCCTCGTGTATGCATTTTATGGTCTTCGTTAAGGATAATTTAATTTGAATTGTAATAAAGTATAATTTATGATAATTTGTTATTATTCTTTGCCAAGTCTCATCGCTCAATAACTTACACTTCTCACTTGGAATGGTCATCTTGGAGAAATTAGTCATAAGAGCTACCTCTAAAGTGTGCACTAAAACGAACGATGAAACATTTTTATCCCTGATCAACTTTTGATAAGAGACCTTCCCGAAATCGACTCATTCATATCATAGTGCGAACTCGGTGAAAAACTAAACATCCTATTCAATTCATTTCCTGTGCCACATTTGTTATGCACTTTACAACAACAAATGTTACTGTGTAAATCTCTCTTAATATTCATTGGCGACAAGCGACAACAAAATTTAAATTTGTCACCCGATGACGTAATGCGCAAACAAGTTCTAAATTCGTTCGCCAGTTGAGCATATCTGATTATTATAGTATCATG